CAAATCATGGGTGCACGATGTATGCGCTGGAGTTGACAAAAGAACAAAAAAATTTGTATGTGATGTTTGTACTAACTGAATACCTATGTGTCATGTAAACAGATTAATAAAAAATACGTTTTAATTATTATTGTTGCTTAATTGAATTCTTAGGTACGACTTAGGCTATAGGTGGTACGACTTTGGAAACCGGTTACTTTAGTCGTACCGATGTAAGTTTTTAAAGATTTAATTTATTTTACGTGAAAGCATATAGATTATCTAATTTCGTTATAATAAATAACAACAATATTAACACAAGTTTTGAATAACACATTTAATTTCTATTTATTTGATAAATCCTAAGTTTTATACGGTTTTTTCCTTAAGGGGTACGATTTGAGCAACCTAACCCTATATCTGTAAACTTTCCATGGATTCACAAATTATACCAACTACAGGATGTGGAATAAGGGACATGCAGATGTGTACAAATAAAAATATCAATTAGGTTTTACGGAAGATAGAGGTTTAATAACGATTTTAAGAACTTGCACAAAACGCACTGTTATGCAGAAGATAGGCTTAAGTACAGCAAATTTGTCCTTATCTTTAATACTATTGACACTAATGAACAGAATTTTGAAGGTTTTGATTCCAGCAGAGTACGCATATTCTCAGAACAGGGAATGTTAGGAATTTAAGTTTGAAGTTAGTTCTTATTCTTTGTGGTACTAGGGTGATGTGGGCAGCAAGTACCTCTGCAGCTTTGTAAATTTTACTGCATTACTTGGTACTACAATGCACTGACACTTCTGTTGTTAATTTGTTCACTTTGCTTCTCAACCATCCTGGAATCAGGAATTGTTTTTCATGTATCTTCCAAGTGCCAGACAGATCTTGGACTTTGTCTGGAAGGTGTAACAGAGTGCTACCAGGATTGGAAATTGGCAGCAGAGTTGATGTACGTAGCACTCTCTTTGGTATTTGTCTCGGTCGCCTTTAACGGGGACGTCAATGATTTTCATTGCATATACCGTGTTGTTATCCATGCCGCAGTTCTTCCACGTCATGTACACCTTTCCAAAACCTGCAACGGTACACAGTTATGATTCTTGTTTCTTTCTGCTCAACAGTGGTCTGAAGTATTTGTAGACTGTCCCTTTATAAAGATTATTATTGTTTATAAACGTTTTGTGAAATATCAAACATATATGTGATTGTTTGCATTTAGTGCTAACATTATAAATTTTTGGGTCTTTATCTGTACCAAGATAAAGACACAACGGTTAATAATGGTTACCATTTGTCTGTCCATTCTTTCCAGATAACATTCAAAGAAGTAGTCAGTAATGAGTAAAAAATGGTATTGTTGGCAAAATGTGTATTTTGATTTAACTTAAGCATAAAAGATGGTGGTGGTGATGATGGTTTTATAAAAACTGAAACATGTTGTGTAAAAGATGTTCCAAAATGTAAATCGATCAATCGATATGGAACATCAATGATATTTTATTTTCTTAATTATAAGAAATTTTAAATATTGTGATAAGACGGATTAAAATAAATAATTGTTAGAATATTCACAATATGACGCAATTACACTATCTTATAAAAGAATTTTGAGTTGTTTCCAACTTTTCTCAACCACACCATAACGTCTTATAGCAAGAAAATATTTATGATGCTTCATTTTGTTCAAACATTATTAATAAAGATTTGGTTCAGAGTTTGTAAATGTTGTGGTTAGGAGATGATTTTAATTTTATCTTCCTATGTATGTAAAGCTGTTTGTAGTGCTGTCTGTTAAATAATATTTAGTGTGTTTATTCATTTTCTAATTCAGGGACGTTGGGTAAACAATTCCATGACCATTGGTGTGATACCATCAAATAATAAAATTTTCAGTAGCATAATGTAGTCATGTTCTCCACTGCAGGAAATTATGATCATTCTTAAATCAAAGGCCAATGAGTACAAAAAAATACATTGTGACCACAGGAGAAATATTTGATATCGTTGCCACTATAAGTAGCAGCGTACAAGAGTAACAATAATGCCTGGTAATGGGAAGCAACTTCCAGTCACCTCAGAGGTTTACCACATATTTCCCTAAAATCCATGTTTCCATGCCACCTCCCCCACGTCACTGAAGTAGCCAATTACAATAAATATTCTTTCAAACACAGTACATACATGCCTTGTGCATCAATATTATTGTAATGCCACCTTCTTTCCTTTTATTATCCTAAAAGTAAAAGATGCACATAACCACAGAAATTTTGTGCTATATGAGTAATAATTGTCAGCTGAAATCTTCATTCGTAATTCCTAGCAACAATATTTTCCCTAGCAGTTTCTTTACAGACATTTGCAATTAACCATTATTCTGGTAATAGATTAATGCATTAGAAATTAAAAATAACAAATATGAAAACATTACTCCATTCATCCACACACATTCACATTTTGATGATACAATGTCAAAAGTAGGCATTCTAAAATTTACCATGCAAGACATAGCATGTTCATAAACTTAAAGCAAGAATATGAATATTCTATGCTACATTATATGAGCTTCTGACACTGCCTTTATATAAACCACAAATTAATAAATAAATAGATGATAAAATCTATTAGCTAAGATATGTACCATTTGCATGCGTTCTCTTCGCATCATTAGCAAAATTGTCCTGTATCAAACTTAGTACTGCCTGTCTTTTATGAGCCAAATATCCCCCTTGTTAATAGCAAGCAACACAAAATGATAACAGGGTCTGTCCTCCATGTGGTCTTTATCCCAGTTCTTGAGACTGTCATCGTCCCAGTTTTCTGGGGCTTTGTCCCAGTCCGAGACAGGTTTGTTTTTCTAGAATTGGCCACGCTCATTCCCACTGTTGAAAGGGCACTCCATGTTCTGGTACATTTCGTTGTTTTTACGATGATACTGGAAAGATAGGTTATGACAGGCGAATCAGTCACTGTCTGGCTGTCAAACTGACAAAGTCACAAAACTCTCCTCCTACATTTTATGGTTCATAACATTATAAAAATAGCAGTTATACTAAATCAGTCCAGTCCGTACCAACACATCACATACAAGATGTGTTTTAATGTTTCCCTCTCGTCTGTGCTACATCTCACAATTATTCTTCCCTCTCCATTGCAAATATAATCTCTCCTGTGTGTGCTGTATTTCCTGCCCATCTCATCCTTCTTGGTGTATCATTCTTATACTATCTGACTATCCTTAGACACCCTCAACTTGGAATAAAGGTCGCAGCATCCCAGATGATATTTGTCTTCTCGGTCTGTGTTCTTTCCTTGATCTGAGGGATTGAGCGTCAGGCCCATACAAAAGAACTTGTATAATTTCAGCCCTTGTTTATTTTTATTCTTTCATTTATTACATTTCTTGATAGAGTGCAGTCCATAATCTGACATTCATTGCCTTTTTTGTAGAATTTCATCCCTGGGACCTATCTTATAATAGTTGAACCTGTATCACAAGTAATAATAGCAGGTCTACATAAAGTTGAATTTATAACGCCCATTATACATGTTACACTGAACTAGCCTTCAAAGGATTTGCTTTAATTTCAAACAATAAAACAAATAAAATAAAATATAATGCTTTAAATACATATTTTTATTTCCTTGTCCAGTTTGAAAATATCAGGTTAGTCGGTCTCTGGGCACAGATGTGAATCTAGCACTCGCTAAATATGAGGCAGGAGTACTAAGTAAACCCTTGACAGCTACAATAGTTCCCTGTATATTACTTACCCAACTCCGCAAAAATGCTGTTCGCCAGTTGGATTTTATGCTGTACATATTAAAATGAGCTCTGTTCATCTTGTGACACACTTAGTTTTTTATCGTATTCTTTTTTTCACAGTTTACTTCGAAAAAATTTGCAAAACGTTATGTTAACGTTTCAAAATTTTCTCCCGCTGTTGACGATTGATAGTTGCACAATACCTGTCCGCAATCGATACATGTATCGATTGTGAGTCGAATTTTAGTAACGAAGTATCCGCTATGTCCGACAGATGTCGACAGCATGTGAGAACTCCATTCTGAATATTGATTTTGAAGCCATTATTTTGGAGGTAAGTCACTACAGCTGATACTTTTCAGTCGACATCGCCTACAACATCAAATAACAAAAGTCAGAAGTTAAACAGCACAGCAGTATGGCAAATTTGCTCCGGAATTGTTCTGATAGGTCTAAAGTTTGAGGGTAAATTTTTACCATGTTATCTTTGTGAAAATGTGTGCCATTTTTATTTTGTGTATACTTTCTGAAAATTCATAATATCTGTAAAATGTTGATACCAGATTAGTAACTCAGTAGTTGTACGCTACTTCGTTAGGAGTCGTATACTAGGACTGAGAAGCATCATTAATTCTGTCACTGTTTTCACATCTATTTGTTGACAATGTAGCATAACCCAGATGCATGAATTGGCTTCTCTGTCACAGATGTGTTCTTATTTAGACAGGAAAGATTTTCCTAGGATGTGGCATATTTAGTTAACAGGTTTTTAGAGAAGGGTCCCATAAAACAGATAGGTAAAGGGTAGGAAATCAAGAGGCATGCATTCTTCTAGTTATAATACTATAAGGTATCTAAGTATTTTAGTTCTAAACTCAATTTTTTTTCCTGTTATATACTAAGAAAATGAAGCATTGTGAGAGTACACATTTGGAGACTTTTGACATTGTTTCTGGGTGATTTCTTTTAAAAATTCAGTAGGTAGAAAGTTTGATTTACATCCCTAGCAAAACAGCTTTTGTGTAATAAATGTCATGTATGCAGTAGGATCAAAGTAACATATTAAGATCCTTTCAGTACATGCTTTGAGTTTGTAAGGAAGTTACAAAAATGTTTATGCCATAGTTAGATGTCCTCATAGAAGCTGTATTGTTAAGTAACTTAAAGCACGGACCATGCGGAAGACTTCAGTTCAAAACGCTTCCACTTTCTCCACAATTGAAGAATCTTAATCTGAGGTGTTCTCGCTTCGTCGTGCCAGACTTTACAATAAGCATTCTGGTCCATACCTTTAATGTTTATGCTTCGTCCTTCATGACATCAGATGGAGAGAGATGTCATGAAGAGCTGCTAGCCACCTGTTGATAATGAGGTCATCTTTGACGCCAGTCAGGACCACTTGGGGGCGGAGCTTTTCAGTCATTCAGTTGCAGGAGTGTGAAAACTTTCCAAGGTCAGAACAATTACTGTCTTATGTTTTACTTAGTTCTGCATCAGAAAAGGGTTAATTTGTTGTTGTTCTGCTATCATTAGAACAGGAGTTGGAAGCCGAGGGCTTTAGAGCCCTGAAAACGATATTTTAGTTCAGAATGCTGTGGTTGTCCTTAGTCCTTGGTTCTGGGCAGATATTTGTGTGCTGTGGCCGATGTGATGCATATGAAATATTTAAGCTGCCATACTCAGGGAAAAGCTTTATGGGCATAGATGGAAGGAGTTAATGAAATAATAATAATTTCAGATAGTAATAACAGTAACTTAGTCGTTGTTTAGTCCCGTATATTTATGTTGTCACTAAGAAATGAGCCCACTTTTAGTCGGGGATATTTTTATGATAACCTGATCTGAAATAATGAAAATGTTATTCTGTTATGACAGTCAAAAAAATGTATATTTCCATTACCAAATTATGTTTCTGGAAGTGACCATAATCTATGCTCCAATAATGAGTTGCTCATTTATTGTGGCAGTGTTACAAACATACAGAGTACAATTTCAAGCACTTTAGTTCTATTACAGCTGAAAGGGTTGGCACAAATATAAGAAAGAGTTGTTTGCATCAAAGAAATTACAACAGTTTACATAATACAGGTCTGGAATTTCCTTTTCTGAGTTACAGCACCCCTTCTTTTTTCAAAATTGCCGCTTAGTATGGAAATTTCATAGGAGGTTCTGAAAAGACCTGTATGTTTGTGCATACAGTAAAATAAGCCAGAGATGTGGGAATTTTAATTGATTTGAGGAAGAGAAAATCAATTTCTAGATTATACATGTGTATAATGTGCTCCATAGAAGACTAAAACGTTAAGACTCAGAATTCATATACATAGCCACAGTTTTAGCATGGTTCTTATAGGTAGTGTTTTGAATGCCTGCCTTCTCGAGGGTATCACCACCTTGTAGAAGGCAATCTGCCGGGTGAGGAGGCTTGCGTGCTCAAATGACCCTTAGGGCTATGCCGGCCTGAGCTTCGGCTCATGGTAGGGTTACCCAAGCCGGACAGGTCTAAGGAGATGCGCTAGACTAAGAGTGATACCCTGGTCCTCCAGGTTGGGGGTTGGGTGTAGTGCTAACAACCTTTCACCTTTACAAAAATATGTGTTACGAAAAAACCAACCAAGCCTCGGATCAGGACGGACTCTTTGGCACGACCGCAGCAATTGAAAAAGGACATGAGATTTGGTACTTCGAACATTAGGAGCCTCTATAGGGCTGGGGCACTGAAATCAGTGTGTAGAGAATTAGGGAATTATAAGTTAGACTTAGTGGCAG